CGACCATTTTCTGTATAGTAAAAGAAAATCAAAGTATGTGCTTTTAAAAGGAGATAGAAAACTCCGCCATTTTGATTCCTTATTACGTGTTGTCTACATCTTGGCGCAATATTTTTAATAGGTGCGTTTTAATCATCTGCTTCTGCTTCGGAATTGTCGGTTTTATTGTTTTAATCTGACAGGTTAAAACGACTAAACCGATAATTCCGGAAGTAGAAGCGGATGATTAAAACGCACCAGATATGTTGCTTGCTGCTGTCAGTATCAGTGAATATTATTTTTGGAGTCACAATTTATTGCTAATGAATCAGTTAGCTCACTCGGACCAGTTGAAAGTTCCAAAATAACATCCACTCCAGGGATACAAATTCAGGATACGCAGAAGACTGCTGTTTTATTATATGCGGTTGTCATATATTGTATTATCCGAGTTGCGCAGTGAATAAACTGGAACATTGAGATCAAAAGTGCCTACGCAGAGTGAGCGATCTGATTCTTTAGCTATAAACTGTGGCATAGGAATCAAAATGGCCGCACCCTATGTTGGGCGTGTCGGTCCTCTCTCTTGCACCGTATAGTAATCAAAGTATGTGTATTTATTGGTTTAGGCAACTGAACATACTTTTCGCGACTGGTACGCCATTTGGCATAGAAAATATTGATTATCATGGTATCCAAACGTAAAAGAGGACCGTTGGGGGCAGCACCTCCCAGTGCCCTCTGAAATTTTTAAGCAATGTTCAATTTTAGAAAAAACTACTTACTTTTTTCAAAAATGGTAAATACATGGATGATAACATTTATACGTATATGACTTTTTTTATATTTTTTCCATTTTATTTTTTTTTATGTTTATAAAAAAAGTTATCATGCGCCAATCTACGTTACATAAGAAGCTCGGATACAAATAAAGATTTTTTTGGTGAGTATTAAGCCCGCAATTTACACATTAACATTTCCAATATGGCTGAAGGGTATAGAACCCTCTTAATATAATTATTCGTTTTTCATTTAGAATTTTTTTTAAATATTTTAACCCCCTTAACTCCCTAGTTTTTTCTAGGGTGATTCAAATTTTATCTTACTGTATATGATTTAAATTTTAACCATTTAACTTTACTTCCGGCCATTTATGATTCACATACTTTTATTGATAAGGAATAAAAAAAAAGAAAACTATTCAAAATTATCAACAACAATGGTTTAGTTAATCAATAGATATTGCATTCGAACATTGGTAACTACAATTAATTGTCTTTATCTAAAAAATTACTTTCTTTATATTTTAGACAAATTTAAAATTTCACTTACTTATGCTATTGCCATCTATGAGATTTAATGTTATTTTTGTTATTTTTTATGCAGTTTTCCTTATTTTAATAATTAGGTTTCTTTTAAATATCACTTACATTCTATAAATATATATAATAATATATAAAAATTATAACTATTAATATATTTGTACCATTTTCTTATAGATGGCAAAATTTTGTTGTCAACAAATCATTAATATTTTATTTATTTACTTAAACTTAGAATTACAATGACCACAGAACATAGTACCATCAAGAACATTACTTACTTATTCTACAATTATGTAGGTATATAATAAACAGGTAATCCTTTTTATCATATTTCAAACAATAACGTTTAATACGTTTTAAATATTTTAGAACAAATCATAGTTAAATCTACGAGATTTAAGTAACTATAGATTTGAGATTACAATGGTTTTCCATTTCATCGACATTTTTAAATACGCCATACACCATGATACCAGAAAAAAGATACAAATTCCGGTATGAATTGCTATCAAAAGGTTTGGACAAATATTATAATATGCTTTCTACTGATCTTAGAAACTTATAATAATAATAATAATTGTCTTCTTCAGGTGTTTTTATTAATTTTGGACACTCAAAATTCCATACAGTTTTTATCTCACTATGCCATTCTATCCTCCCCTAGATATCGCCAAACAAAACCCCTAGTAACCTTAAGGTATTTTACCATGAATAAAAATATTTTCTTAAATATTTGACAGTTTATTTCCCTTTTTATTCTTTCATTCCAAATATAAAAATAGCAGTGTCCTGTGAACTTAGATTAAAAAGTTGGTCTCGTAATTTATTAATTTACAGAGTGTACCAAAATTTTATACAAATTCATTTTATTGACAAAAATTATTATTGTTGGTAATTTTACTATTTTCTTTATTACACAATAGTACCTAATATTGACAATTTACTGTCTTTATAATAAAGTAATTTCGTATTCTCCGTCGCTGAGGTATAAAATTATTGGTTAATCTAGTAAAATTCAGATAGGAAGGTATAAATATTTACTTTTTTTCTGCTTTGAACAATCCTGTATATAGATCTTTGCCATAAAAACTCTGCTATCATGCATTTTTACTTTCCTTTCTGTATCCACATCGACTCTTGTTGCACAGACTACTATTTTATTGAATCTTTTATTGTTACAAAGTTACATTTTACGA